AATAGTTGTCTAGGGAAGGTTGAGGGATTACTTCATCATTGAGGCAAATGATGAAAGTTGAATCCTCAAAGCAAATAGCATCCAGGACAGTGTGGGAATCTTCTGACCCTAATATTTTGCCTCCCTCTGGGTCCTTCAAGATATTAATTAGGACTGGAGGAAGTACTTTCCCTTCTAATCTCAGTTAACATACCATAAAAATCCTTTAAGCTGTGAAGAGATCATCCCCACCCCCTAATATTCATGACGTACTTCTCACAGTCCCCTTTCCTCCACCTACATTAAGTCCATGGTTTGAGAGAGAGGCAGCCAACACACTGCATGGACTGTCTTTGTTGCCACTGCTCTCATATGCTCAGCCAGGACCACCAGTTTTCTTCTGTCAGTAGTTGTTAGCTATCCTCCTGGCTAATGAGTGCATTTTGGAGGTCAATCGTTTGACCAGCTTTCAAAATATTTTCCAAATTCTCTCTCAGTTTGTATCTGATGTGTTTTTCTTTTTCTAGTATGCTGCTATGGAGACCTGCAAAACTTGCATGAATGTCAAAGACTTTGAGCCTGTAACAGTGACAGAACCATATTTGGATCTCAGTGTTCAAGCATGCCTTTCTTCAGCTTTATTTGTTGGAATTTTATTTTCCTCAAGGAAGGACAGGAGCATTCTTTTCTTATTAGGCTGAGCGCCACAGGATGAGAGTGGAGAGCTAGAAATATAATAACCATTAGAAAATACATTCCAACTGAAGCTTTTGTTGCACATGTAGTAGCTCTCACTTAATGTTTTCCCCGCTCATAATAGAGGGTATAATGGTTATTATTGTATTTGATCAAGCTTGCCCATTGCATATAAAGGAAGCAGGTTGGAGGGAGGGCACAGCCAAGAATAGACATGAAATTGTTAGTTGGCTGTTATTCCCATTTGTTTCTATATATTTCTATTGCTTGGCTTTCAAGATTTAAAGGAAAGAAAATCTTCTCAGACTAGAGCTCTTTCTCATGCCAACATGTCTCTAGTTTGCGTTTTCCAGGTAGACATTTGTGAAGCTGCAAAATTGTTTGTGAAGCCCCAATTGCCTTTCACTGTTTGTATATTTGTCTTGCCTATCCAGAACCATTTTTTCCTACATTTGGTAGGAAATGGGATAGTGTGCATGTGTGCATGTTTGAGTGGCAAGCTTTCTGCCTAGACAACTAGATGGATGCTCTTTGACTTGTTCACGCTATGCTAGCAGGTTAATTTCCTTCAGTGCTGCATGGCAAGACTTTGACCATGACGCAGCTTTAGTTGTGCCTACATAAGACTGGTTTGGTCAGAAGTGTCCCTTTCACAGTAATGTAAAGCAGAAGGCTAGCATCTGTCTCTCATTCTCATATTTCTAGATGCAGATGCTACCCATTCACAAAATAAAATCTGAAGTGGGGCACTGAGAATATGTTGAAATAGAAATATGTGTAGGACTTCCTTTGAATTGTGTGCAGATGTACTAGATTTGTGTTAGCAGCTGCCTCTATATATTAGGGTAGGGAAATAAGCAGTCTTGTTGGTGTTCTGTACTAGCAGTTGCCTTTTTTATATGGTAGCACAACAGTCACCAAGAAAGGTTGATTAAATCTTCCATCTCTAGGGCTGGAGAAAGGGGGCGTCCCTGTTTGGTTCAGCTGGAGTGTGGTCCATTTTTGGTATCCAAATTTCGTTGGGTACCCAGATCTGTTTTTGGGAGCCTCCCGAAGATCAGCTAATAAAAAAAATCTGTTTTTGGCGAGGTGGCCAAAAGATCCTGGAAGGTCCATCCAATTGGTGGTAGTGGGGAACTTACAAAGCTCCCCTTTCCATTCCTCGGACCCTTTCCTTTCTTCCTTTCAAAGGAACCTGGGTTTGCGAAAAGGTGTTAAGGAAGCACTCTTCCTGGGACCCTTTCCTTTTTCCCTTCAAGAGAGTCTGGGTTTGAGGAGAGTGGTTATGGAAGCACCCTTCCTTGGACCCTTTCCTTTTCTTGTGGTAAGCAGGGTCTGAGCCAGGAGAAGAGGGGAAAGGGAGTTCCAAGGATTTAAAAGAGGGGAGCTTTATGGGGGCTGGGGGGTCTCCTTTCCTCGGCCTGATCCCCATCCAGAGAGTGCTACAGAAGGGAGATGCCTCCTTTTCCAATTCCCTGGCATCTAGGTCTCTCTCCCCCTTCTCTCTAGCTGTCCCTTTCTTCCTCCTTCCCTTCTTCCTCATCTCTCTCTTTCTTCCCTCTTTGTCTTTTGCTCTCTTCTCTCTTTCTTTCCTCCCTCCTCCTTTCTCTCTCACTTTTGTCTTTTCTTTCTTTCTCCCTTTTATTCCCCTCTCTCTTCCTCCTTTCTTTTTTCTTCTCTTCCTTCTTTTTTTATCTCCCTTTCTCCCTCTCTCTCTCATTCAATCTTTCTGTCTTCCTTCCTCTCTTCCTCCCTCTCTTTCACCCTCCCTACCTCTCTTCCTCCTTTCTTCATTCTCCTTTTCTTTCCTTATCTCTCCCTCCCTCCCTTCATTTCTTTATCTGCCTCTTGGCATGCTCGACTCCTTCTTGCACAGGGTTTTGCACAGTTGGGAAATCCAGGAGTTTGGGCTGGATTGAGAAGGGGGTTCCCAACCTTATTTCCCTTTTGAGGAAAAGTCAGGTTGACCACACCTTTTCAAGGAATTCCCAATGTTTTGGACTGCAGTTCCCATCAAGGCATGGAAGTCACCATCCAGATTATTTTATTATTTATTTATTTATTTTGAGTGCTTCTACCCGCCCTTCTCAACCCCCTAGGGGGGACTCAGGGCGGCTTACAAAAGGCACAATTAGATGCCTAACAATTCACAAAATACATCACAATATACAATACACAAATTTACCATATAATGTCAACAGTTATAACTAATTAAAACAATCAAACAGTATACTAGCAGCGATAAAATCATCTTGTGGTCAATGTTCGCCAATTCATAGTCCGTAATCCATCTAGTATCGTCATTATCCTTTCCTACTCTGGTCGTCATTGGTTGTCTTTGTCCATCTGCCAGCTTACCCAAAGGCCTGGTCCCACATCCAGGTTTTTAGCTTCCTTCTGAAAGCAAGGAGGGATGTTGATGACCTAATCTCCCCTGGGAGTGCATTCCACAGGTGAGGGGCCACCACCGAGAAGGCCCTGTCCCTCGTCCCCACCAGTCTCGCTTGTGATAAAGGTGGGGCCAAGAGCAGGGCCTCCCCAGCAGATCTTAAACTCCGAGGTGGGACGTAGAAGGAGATACGTTCGGACAGGTACGCTGGTCTGGAGCCGTAAAGGGTGCTGGGTTGGGGAAGGAAAAGGGGTCCACTGGTCTTTCTCCTCCAAAAGTACATGGGGGAAGGAGAGATTGTGAAGAACAGTGGAAGAGATTTTGTGAGGGAATGCACTCTGAGACCACTTTTTCTTTGCTCTTTGCCTTTTGAGGAGATCTGGGAGGACTTGATGGATGGGGTCGACCCTTTTGTTCCTACTGTGGATGATGGGAGTGTAGTACAACTCATGGGAAGGGTCATGGGGAGGGCATATAAGAAGAGGAGAGAAAGGAGTTAAATAAGAAGAGTGGCAAATGGGGAGTTGATGGGTTCCCCTATCTTTTCCCACATCAAAGACCAGTCCAGATCTTTTGCCTCTCCTAATCGGCAGCCAGGAAAGGGGGAAGGAAAGGTGGAAGACCCCAAGGAGTCTTGGTAGCTCCAGCTGGAGGAATCTCGTGTGTTCAATGGGGTTTGCACAATACTTATTTATTTACCTTTTTGTATCCTGCTTATTCTCTCTTATAAAGACTCAAGAGTTAAGGAAGCACCCTTCCTGGGACCCTATCCATTCTCTCTTTCAAGGGAGCCTGGATTTGAGGAATGGGGTTAAGGAAGCATGTGCTGTGTACTCCTGAGTAGAAAGGAAGAAGCCAAGCCCATCAGCCACGTGGGACGTTTCATGTGAAAAAAACATGGCCAAACAAGCCAAAGAAGCTGAAGGCAAATGGCTAAAATGGAACTGTGCACAAGCCTAATGCCAGCCATAGGGTATCAACAGGATTCCAGGCCAGATATTCAGCCATTCTACTTGTATTTTTAGTGCTAATTATACATCTGCTTTCTTGAAAACCCACTCTCAAGCAGCACTGGAGACACAGTGAACAGCCCAGCAGGAGGCTTTTGCTGCTCAGCCACCTTTGAAATTAATGGGGACTGCTGACAAGCGCCACCCCCATCTGTTACAGTGATGCTGTGCATCCTGGCTCCAGTAGTGTTCAGATTCCATTAAACTAAGATATATATAGTGGTGGTATGCTGATTATTAAAATCCTGCTCTCTATTGATGCAGAACTTTCATGAGCCCTGTTGTGATTTCGGTTTGTTTTTTCTTAAAGAAGTTATTAGATTTTCACTTTGAGTTCATCAATACAGTTCAGACATGGGGTGGGGTGGGGGGGGGGGAATAGCATAAAAGTTCACTGAACATTTGATTTTAAAAGTAACAGCCACAAATATAATTATATTTTTATAGTAAGTCTATGATATGTTGGCACAAGCATTTATGTCAGTCTGGAGGAGGAGTATAAACTTGTCTGTTGGCATTTATGCATTTCATAAAGATGTGCTGGCTGCTATAAAAGATGTCATGTTTTGGGCTGTTCTCATTACCTTAACCTGAATTTTCCACAGCTAATGAAATCCATATTTTTCTTTGAAAACTTGTATAATAAAATCTGGCTCTTTTATAAAAGGTGACATTACTTGGGTGTCAAATTCCAAGTCATACCCTGTTGGACAAATCCAATTTTTGTCCCAAGAAGAGTAAAGCCATTAAAATGAAATGAAATCATCTCCTTTTAAGTTCCATTGATTTCGCGTGTCTGTTGGGATTAAAATTGGAAGTCACATCATGAGTAAAGTTGTGTATAAGACAAAACTTTTGACTGTGCTGACATTGTTTTATGCTGTTTCTTTCGGTAGTTTGAGCTCATTTCATTTTGATTTCCATAGGGGGGCATGATCGCGTTGCTGCTTTCCATCTTGTGCCTGGTGATGATCCTCTACACCCGCCGGCGTTGGTGCAAGCGCCGCCGAGTTCCCCAGCCTCAGAAGAGTGCCAGTGCTGAGGCAGCCAACGAGATTCACTACATCCCTTCAGTGCTGATTGGGGGGCATGGCCGTGAGAGCTTGCGTAATGCTCGCGTGCAGGGCCATAACTCCAGTGGGACTCTGAGCATCCGAGAGACCCCCATCCTGGATGGCTATGAGTATGACATCACCGACTTGCGCCACCACCTTCAGCGGGAGTGCATGAATGGTGGTGAGGACTTTGCCAGCCAGGTCACCAGAACGCTGGACTCACTGCAGGGCTGCAATGAGAAGTCAGGCATGGATCTCACGCCAGGTGAGGCGTAGTCTCAATCTCTGTGTAACTCCCTACAGCATTACGATGTGATAGGTTGGATTCTTTCACTTGGCATATTGTTGCTATATTTTTTGTTATTTATTTACAGTATTTATATTCCACCCTTCTCATCCCACAGGGGACTCAGAGCAGATTACAGTGTACATATACATGACAAACATTCAATGCCATAGACACACAACATATATAGACAAACACAGAGACAATTTAACATTCCAAATTTTCATGAGGGTATTCTGGCCACCAGGGGAGCTGTTGCTTCACCATCCATTTGTGACACTGATGGAGTACTTCCTCATTCTTTGCAGGCTTGCTGGAGATTTTTATGGCATCGTAAATTAGTTAAATTAGCCTTCCCACATAGGCGGTACCTAAATTTCCTACTTGACAGATGCAACTGTCTTTTGGGGTGCAAAGGTCGAAAGCAACCTACACAAATTGGTTGGACACTCACTCCGACCCAGGCTGGCTTTGAACTCATGACCTTTCAGTCAGTAATAATAATAATAACTTTATTTATACCCCGCCACCATCTCCCTGATGTGGACTCAGAGCGGCTTACATGAGGCCAAGCTCAAACAACAATTACAATAAAGAGAAACTCAAAACACAAACCGAAAACGCGAACAATAAACAACAACATCATAATTACATAAAACATGTGAATACATAACAATATAAAATTACAGTAAACACAAACACAGTGTCAATGGGCGGGCTACATGTAATGGTTAAAAGAGGAACTAATTAAAACTAGTTAAAACTTGGTGATCTTAATGCTGCTGACTCCCAGCCAGCTGCGCCACAGTCATTAGTATCCAGGTTTTTAAAATCCTAAATCTCTCACTTCATTCTACAGTATCAGACTTGAATTATGTGCATGCACCCTTATAAGTCATCTCCTTCATTCTCTCTATATCATGCCTCAATGTCACAACCAAACATAAAGCTCAGAAATGGCTACACAAATTTATTGTGACATGTACTCTCTCATTTTTAGACAGGAATCTCACTAAAATAGCACTTAGAGTAAGATAATTTGGGTTATTAGCTAAATGTGCAGTTTGGCAAAGTATTAACAGGTATCAAACTTTGCATATATTTGACAGCTATCAAAGTGACCCTGGATTATTTGAAAGATTTTCTCCCATTCTGAATTGCAGGCATGGCAAAGTGCATCACATAGAATCATAGAGTTGGAAGAGACCACATGGGCCATCTAATCCAACCATCTGTCATCCAAAAATATTTTTTTGTCGTGTCAGGAGCGTCCTGAGAAACTGCAAGTCACTTCTGGTGTGAGAGAATTGGCCGTCTGCAAGGATGTTGCCCAGGGGATGCCCGGATGATTTGATGTTTTTATCATCCTTGTGGGAGGCTTCTCTCATGTCCCCACATGAGGAGCTGGAGTTGATAGAGGGAGCTCATCCACCTCTCCCCGGATTCGAACCTGTGACCTGTCAGTCTTCAGTCCTGCCGGCACAGGGGTTTAACCCACTGCGCCACCAGGGGCTCCTATGCAATAATAATAATAATAATAATAATAATAATAATAATAATAATAATAATAATAATTTTATTTAATAGCCCGCCACCGTCTCCCCAATGGGGACTAGGGACAGTTTACATGAGGTCAAGCCCAACAGCATATTACAATAAAACAAAAACCAAACACAACAACAACACAGTGAAATACATAAAGCATATGAATACAGTAAACAATATAAAATGCAACACAAAATCATTCACAATTACAGTGACAATGAGCGGGCCGCATGTGCAAAATAAAATACTAAAACTCAGGGTGAGATAGGAATGGAGTAGATTATTTGTGAGGAGAAGCTCGTAAAGGAACGGGGTCATAAAAATAGGCCTTCATACAAGTGGGGGGAAATATACTCTGGGAACAAAAACGTTGAGCGGGAGCAACTGTATATGGTTGTATGCCTACTCTCCAAAAGTGCAACAAAAAAAACAGGTATTGAGATCCCTCTTGAAGCACAATCAAAGCACTACCATCCAGTCTCTGTTTAAAAACCTCCAAGGAAGGAATCTCAACCAGACTTTGAGACAGAGAGTTCCACTGTTGAACAGCTCTTACAGTCAGGAAGTTCTTCCTAACGTTCAAGTGGCATCTTCTTTCTTGTAATATTTCTCTGAGTCCTAGTCTCCAGAGAAACGCAGTTTGAGTCCTCTCCTATACAACATAGTTCTAGTCTGCTCTTCACATCATAACTATTAATGAAAAAAACAAGCACCTATGCACAAAGCTCTATAAGCCCAAGAAGAAATAATAAAGTGCCTACTTTGACCCTGAGCAGTGGGAAAATTGTGAAAATGGTCTGCAACAGTATCTTTAGCAATCCATGTTTTGTTAAGATTTTACTGAACTCTTCTTTCAGGGAGTTCCTTTTAGCTATCCAATGATCCTTTTGAATTGGTCAGCTCAAGGAGTTGGTACTGAGCTGTGCGTAGAAAACGACTTTGATCATATAATGACTAATTACAGTATTGGGATCTGAACTCCTGTTTCGAGCTTCACTGCTCCTAGAGATTATCTTAATATGATTACTTGGATAGCTGGAAATGAATATTTTCTCTTTCTTCCCTACTCCCCTTTCTCTTTCCCATTCTCGTTTTTTGTCTCCTTTTCTCAAAGTTTTTGCCTTAAATTCTTCCTGTTCAGGAAGTGACAATGCCAAGCTGTCCTTGATGAACAAGTACAAGGATAATATCATCGCCACCAGCCCTGTGGACTCCAACCATCAACAGGCTACACTGCTCTCTCATACTTCCAGTAGCCAGCGCAAGCGGATCAATAACAAGTCTCGAGGTACCACCTGGAATAACTTCCTTTTGGATAATGGGGAGGGGGGATTTCCTGGGTTTGAATCCAGAGAAGAGACTGTGGGGACCAACCAGAGGTTCTTCCAATCACCATCAAGAGATTGGATAGCTTAGTCCAGGTTTGAAGGGTTGAAAGCAACGTTGCTCCCCTTTTGTTTGTCACCAGCACCTAACATTCAGGGATATCTTGTCTATAACATGGGGGTACCATTTGTGTTTTGTGGCTTGTATTTACTGTGAAAAATACTATATTCTTATTTATGCAATCTGCAATCTAGAAATATATTGACATTTTGAACTGTTGCATCACACTGTTGATATGTTCAGCTTTTGGTCTACTAAGGACCCATCCACACAGCCATATAACTCAGAATATCAAGGCAGATGATCCACAATATCTGCTTTGAACTGGATTATCTGAGTCCACATTGCCATATAATCCAGTTCAATGAGGAAGGGGCCTAAGACTCCCAGGTTCTTTTTACATGTATTGTTTTCTAGCCAATGTCATCCTTCATATTTGATTTTTTTTCTGCTTAAATGTCATAGTACCATATATGTTGAAGTTCAGTTTGTTAGTTCTGGCCCAGCTATATCATCAGTGAATGCCATTTTAGATTCCCTTGCTGTCCTCTAGGACAGGGGTTCTCAAACTTTTTCAGCCGCAGAACCCTTTTTGAAGCAAAAGTTTCTCATAGAGCCCAAGAAATGTTTATACATTATATTATATATGATGTATATATAGGAGGCATGAGCAAACCTTTGGACTCATTACATTTTAAAATTTGACAGATGGGCTGGGCCAGTGGCAGATGGATGGAGAGTGTTTGTGTGAACTAATTGAAAAAAAAAACCATGAACAAATTCTTATTCACACTGCACATATCTTGTTTGTAGTGCAAAAAGAAAGAAAGACCAATACCATATTTAAAATGAAGAACAATTTTAACCAGCATAAACTTCACAATATTTCAGTAGAATACTCCAGGGGGCCATCTAGTCCAATCCCCTTCTGCCATGCAGGAAAAGCACCCCCAACAGATGACCACTCAACCTTTGTAGTAGTAGTAGTAGTAGTAGTAGTAATAATAATAACAACAACAGCAGCAGCAGCAGCAACAGCAACCCCAGGGGGCATCCAAGAAAGGCACAATCAAAGCATCCTTGACAGATGACCACCCAGACATTGTCATAATAATAATAATAATAATAATAATAATAATAATAATAATAGGAGCAACTCCAGGGATCATCCAGTTCAACCCTATTCTGCCATGCAGGAAATGCACAATCAAAGCATCCCAACAGATGGCTGAGGGAAAATTGCTTTGGGGTGAGAGGGCTGAGGGGAAAAGGCTTTTGGCAGCAAGGGAGGGGGGCAAGCAGGAAAGAGGGGAGAAAGCTTGGAGGGCAAGGAGAAGGAGAGAAGAAGAAGAAGAAGGATGCAGCCATGAGGGAAAGAGAAAGAGAGATAGGGCAATGCTAGACTTGGGCAGTGGCCATGGAGGGATAACTCTTTTGCAAAGGCAGGCAGGCAGGCAGGCAAGGAGGTAGGGTCGGGGTGCATGTTTACAATGGTCAAACTGGAATAGAGCAAGGGAGGAGAAGGGAAGCAAGGAGCCTAGGGTGGGAGAAAGAACTCTTGTCTGTTTGAGGCAAGTGCGAATGTTTAGTGTCAATTCATCCAGTGGTTTTTGAGTTCTGTTAATCTCACAAACGAACATTACATTTTTATTTATATAGACGTGAAATTATAGTGACCAATTTCATTATATTGTTTTAAAGGAAAACCCAATAAATACTTTGATGAAGTAACATGAACCAGCTCCCAGGCTGACACTATATTTCATCAAGAGATGAAATTTGAGGGTATTGACGTAGAGATAAGGACTGGATAATTTTGTCTCTGCTAATTAGGACCATTGGGTTTATGTTGTCAGTTTGCCAGACCCTTAGGCCTACATAGTGATGCCGAATGCTATTTACCATAAGATTATAAAGTTATTTCACTAAGCAGAAGTAGTGACAGTGCAACGCAGACATATTAGATTCTGCTTCTAATTGCGGCCTCTGTGTAGTCAGAGCTTGTTGTAATATCCTGAATGTATCTACATCTCAGCTTCCTCTTCCTCTAATATATTCAGGCATGTCTCATAGCCTGTTGTAACTGAACTTTTCCCCTTTGCTTTGCCTTTCCTCTTGGAAGCCTAAGGCTTAACCTACATGTCAAAGTGAATGAGTTTTTCTTTTCTGTGTTTTATTTTAACTCTCAGCAACTTGTGGAAGTTGTATGCGAAGGGTCTCTTAACATCCCCACCTATCTTTTGGGTGGGGGGTATTTTCCATCTCCAAATCTCTTTCTCCCATTTGACCTTTCTCCTACATGGAAAAATATGGAGAGGACACGGAATGCTATCATTTCTTTTTCTTCTTAGGTGAAAAATAAGCTTTTGAGGGAAGATTTTGAGCTGTAAAGTGACAGGGGGAAAGCATAAACAGCTCTCCTCAACTATTCTCACAATACAGGCCCGTAGCCAGGGGGGTTTGAGGGGCTTCAGCCCCACGCCCAAAATTCCCATGGTGATCCGTGAGAAGGCCTCACTGGTACATTATTTAAACTGTTATGTTTATTCATATCATGACCCGAGCACCATGCTCAATATATCCCATATGCATGGGGGCATTGGAGTAACAATACAAAAGGTTTGCTAGGGTAGATCCTCTCTCACACAGACTCAGCCCCCCCCCCCCCCGAATCAAAATCCTGGCTACGGTACTGTCCCAATATATTTGCTTTTTTAAAAAAAAACTATGAAGGGAACTAGAACATGGAACTCTGTTTAATGTATAGCCTGGTAGGCCAAAAACCCTCAAATACAGTCTGGAGAAAAAACCCAGTAAAGTTCAGTCTGTAATTTCAGTGGGAAACTGTGGCGGATTGAAACAAAAATATGCAACATGCAATGGTAAAAAAGAGTAATGTTAGCAATTGTTTTGTTTCTGCTTTTTCAAATACATAGCTGGCTCTGCATTTCTGAACCCTGAAGGGGATTCTGGGACAGAGGCAGACAACGATCCCCAGCTGACATTTTACACAGATCCATCGCGAAGCAGGCGCCGCAGCAGGGGTAAGTGACAGTAAAGCAGGGGCCCTCAAACTTTTCAAACAGAGGGCCAGGTCCTTCAAACTGTTGGAGGGCCGGGTTATAATTAAAAAAAAAGAATAAATTCCTATGCACACTGCACATATCTTATTTGTAGTGCAAAAACACTTAAAACAATACAGTGTTTAAAATGAAGAACAATTTTAACAAATATAAACTTATTAGTATTTCAATGGGAAGTGTGGGCTTGCTTTTGGCTGATGAGATAGGATTGTTGTTGTTGTTTTGTGCTTTCAAAGCTTTTCAGACTTAGGTTGACCCTGAGCAATGGCTGGTAAATGACCTTGGAGGGCCGCATCCAGCCCCCGGGCCTTAGTTTGAGGACCCCTGCAGTAAAGCAATAACAGTTGCACTGGGCAAGGCTCCCGAGGGGAAGATGTGTTGTGCAGCAGTGGATTTAACCCAGGTTGTATGTTGTATGTATGACTATGTATGACTATGTGTTAGTTGTGTTATGTGTTAAATGTTTTGATACGGCCAATAGGCCAATCAATAAAACGTATCCAGTGGATTTAACCCAGCACCCAAAGTCCAAATGCAATAGATTCACAGACAAGAGGAAAAATGAACAGAAAAATCTTTACTCTTTACTCAGCAGAGATGAAACATAAACTTGCAATGCATACATAAATCAAACAATGCAAGAAACTTACATATTCTTTGTAAGTAACACAAAATAAGGCATCTTCATCTTACATCAAATGAGAGAGCAAAAATAAACCTTGAGTGAATAGCTATTATTTATTTATTTATTTGCTTTATTTCTATACCGCATTTTTCAGCCCTTAACAGGCGACTCAATGCGGTTTACATGGTACAATTATCAAAAAGTGTCAGTGCAATTAAAACATAACAACGCAACAAACAGGATCAACAGCATCAATCCACAACAGTTAACAATCAACAAGACAGATCAACAAAACAGACATAACATAATGCCTCAGTTGAAATCAGATCCGTTCTCATAATCCTTGTGCCATTCCTATGTTCCATTTACCGTCTTCCTATGATTGGTTGCACTGCTTAACCAAACGCTTGTTCATAAAGCCAGGTCTTAACCATTCTCCGAAACGTCAGCAGCGAAGGTGCCTGTCTGATGTCTGCCGGTAGGGCATTCCATAGCCGAGGGGCCACCACTGAGAAGGCCCTGTCTCTCGTCCCCGCCAAGCGCGCCTGTGACGCAGGCGGGATCGAGAGCAGGGCCTCCCCAGACGATCTTAATGTTCTGGTCGGTTCATAGGTGGAGATGCGTTCGGAGAGGTAAGCAGGGCCAGAACCGTTTAGGGCTTTATAGGCTAAAGCCAGCACCTTGAATTGTGCCCGGTAGCGGATTGGCAGCCAGTGGAGCTGGTTCAGCAGAGGAGTGGTATGCTCCCTGAGTGCCGCTCCTGTTAGCAACCTGGCCGCCGAGCGCTGGACCATCTGAAGCTTCCGGGCAGTCTTCAAGGGCAACCCCACGTAGAGCGCGTTGCAGTAATCAATCCACCAGAGCCTCTTTCAGAGTAGTTTCTCCATGCTGTTCCCCAGAGCAAAGCCTTTGAACATAGATCTCCTCGGAGAAAAAGCTCTCCAACACCCACACCCACCACTGTATTCTAAAAAACCCATACAGATATACCCCATTGTGTGTGGTCCAAGCTTGCTGGTTGACCTACATTAACAGCTGTACATAATAATTAACACCATAAGGTTTTTCTTCAACACACACACACTTGGTCCTGCTATGACTTACCTCAACCAAATGGACTTTTCAAGATAGTGCTTAGAGGCACTTCAAGGTCAAGCTTTCCTCTTATGTGGTGATTGCAATCCTGACACACTCTTCACATGCTTCATGGAAATAATAACACTATGTAACATGATTTTTGTTCCTGGGTTGTAAATGTCATTTCTTAATTGGATATATCATAAAAATACAGAAAAAGTTTGTCAAACTGCAAAAATTTGCTGTTGCAGGACATCCTGCAGCATATTTTGCTATAGTTTTTCCATAAATATCTCTCATAGAGTCTCAACCAATTCAATATATTGTCAAAGGCTTTCATGGCCGGAATCACTGGGTTGTTGTAGGTTTTTTCAGGCTATATGGCCATGTTCCAGAGGCATTCTCTCCTGACATTTCGCCTGCATCTATGGCAAGGCATCCCCACTACCTCTGAGGATGCTTGCCATAGATGCAGGCGAAATGTCAGGAGAGAATGCCTCTGGAACATGGGCCATATAACCCAAAAAAACCTACAACAAGCCAACAATTCAATATAGTTTGTGGTGGCTAACAAAATTAAGTTTCTGGAGTATAACAACTACTTTCAAAGCACACTTAAATAGGGAATAACATGTTCAAACCAGGAACAGAAAATTATCCACATTTTGTTACATAGTGTAATCACTAGGGCTGGGCGGTTTCGTTTCGTTAATTCGTAATTCGTTAATAATTCGTTAATTTTTTCAATTACAAAACGATAACGAACCATTCTGGAGCAATTATTAAAAAACGAATTTTCAAAAACGTTTTGTAAATGCTTCGCATTTCGATATTGTATTCGTTTCGTTATTGTTTTGAGGTCGTTTCGTTATTATTTCCGCATGTCTGGGCCAGTTTTATGGTTTAATTAGTGAAAAAAAATTATAATATCACACCAACAGTCAACAACAGAGGGAGAGGGAAGCTTCAGAAGGTTTTGGAGGTTTTTTAGCGTATTTCGCGGTCGCGTCCGCCATTAACGAATCGATTCGTTATTGTTTCGGAAATCGATTTGTTAATTTTTTACCATTTACGAAATTTCGTAAATATCGAACTTTTTAAAAGGAAAATTTTGTAATTATTTTAAATATCGAAACAAAAAAACCCCCCAAATACAAATTGATTTTAGAAACAAATTTTTCCGTTGTTACCCAGGCCTAGTAATCACCAGCTTCCTGCTTCTCTAATTTCCCTCACATGGCAGGATTTGTTGTTATGAAATAGCTCCTCACTCCGTTAGGCCACCCTTGCAAATTTTCTTTCCAGCAATACTAACAGTTGATTGATGACACATCTTTCCCATGCTTTCTGTTCTTCACCAAAACACCATTGAGCTTAAGCCAGTGTTTTGCCCTTCATTTTTTTCTCAGTGCATGATTTGATCTGGAAAGAGTTTCCTCAAGGAAGAAAGTTTGAAAACCAGTGCTCTGGATAAATGTAGATGTAAGAAAAAAAATCAGAATGTGAAATCTACATTATTTGAAGCCTTGCCTTGAAGAAGGGCTCCCAGCAGAGCTGACACAATCCATCATCTTTTCCAGACCAATAAACACATTTCTATGATAGATTTCTCTCTGCATGAGCTGTCTCGATGAGGTCTTTGAAACCCAAGCCCTGTCTTGTCTCCTTGCATGTTGCATATCCCTAAGGCACCTGACTTTACTGTGTCAAGGAACTAGTTGTCATGGAGAAACCAGCCCATGGAAAGGACAGGGAAGGGCATGAATTAAATATGTAAAGAATTGACTTCTACTTTGGAGTAATGCATTTATGTTTCACTCCTGCATCTTATAATATTACTGATAATACTGAGTGCTCTTTCAGTCAATGATTTGTATATTACACCTCCAAATCTACCAAGCCATACTGGAATTCTTTTAACTTCCATGACCATTCCTATATTCTTAGAAATGTTTCACCTAAGCACCACTCTTTTAATTTAGCTCAGGTTTCATTTAGGCAAAGAAAATCAGTGGCGCCTCAAAATTGCTCCTATGAAGGCACCAGGAGATCTGATGCTGGATTCTGGCAACCAGACCTCAGTTCTTTACTGCCTCTGTATTTATTTATTTATGACATTTATTTATGACATTTGTATGCCACCCTTCTCACCCCAAAGGGGATTCAGAGCAGCTTACAAGTAATATGTAAATACAATATATTATATTATTACCATAGCACAATATTAGTATTACATATTACTATATTGTACTATACCATTGTACTGTAATATTATGAGTAATATTACATGTAATATAAAATATATAATTATAATATTGTATTATTATTAGTAGTATTATATTGTATTACATTATAATGGCTTGCTAGAATTGGGAGTCCATGGCCTTTTAAATAAGTACTATTGTGAATGGAGAATTGAAAATTTGAAAAACTGGGTTTTTGTGAGTGAAGCAATTTGCTTTCCAAAGGCAAAATTAGGAAGAAGGTCCTGTTATGCTATCTGGTTGTACTTAGAGGATATAGACCCCAGTTATCATCTGCAGTGCTATAACAACTCATCAGTGTAGATCAGGCATGGGCAAATGTTGGCCCTCCAAGTTTTTTTGGACTTCAACTCCCACAATTCCTAACAGCCAGTAAGCTGGTTTGCCCATGCCTGGTATAGATCCATATAATGCAATTCAACTCCATTGATCTGAGTTATGAGTTTACACTTAAATCTTCATTCTATGGCAGTGTAGATGAGCCTGTGTCTGCTCTCTGTAGCTGCTGGAAGGTACCAGGGAAAGCTCTGTTAAAACAGCCTATATTCCTTAACTGTCTCCAATCCAGCTGCCTAGAGGTTGGTGTGGGCAGCTTCATTTTCACAGTAGATGTCACGAGGCAAGAAACCCAGTTGTCCACAGACTCTTGCTTGGCTCTACGGAGAGTACAGTGAATAAATGACAACCTGTGCTTAGTTTGCCCATGTGTTGTGGATGGAAAAGGATGTGGAATTGTGGCCTCATTTACACTACCATATAAAATCCAGATTTTCTGTTTTGAACAGGAATATATGGCAATGTAGATTAATATAACTGAGTTCAAAGCAGATAATCTGAATTTTAAATGGCAGTGTAGATGGGGCCTGTGAGAAATGCATCATCTGGAATTGTGTTTATCACAAAAAAGTGAGTGCTGATCCTTTTATAAAAAACATGCCAAAGCTTATTATAAAATACTAGCCATCCCCTGCCACGCGTTGCTGTGGCCCAATCTG